ACACACACACACACACACACACACACACACACACACACACACACACACACACACACGACAGTGAGCTACCTCCTCCTCCTTGGGGAATATCCTCTGGCGGGAGTTGACTGGCTTCTTGTTGTCGTCCACCTCGTAGTCTTCCTCGTTCATCCACTCATTGAACGAGTCGGTGTCTATAACCCACTTTGCATGCACCTGAGTGGGAAGGAGACAGAGTTTGTGGACAGTTCCTCAACATGATCAAGTCTGAGTGTAAAGGTTTATTATTCCATCCAAGAAGTGTCACATCAACACTTCCACCCTGAATTTCATCAATTGGAAATCATTTGACCAATTATTTAGTGCTGCTGGACACAATGACTGCTTGCTCACAAAAGCAGCAGTTATTCCTCCAATTGGTTTTCTTTTGAGATAAACATCCCAATACAAATGTTAAAAATGAATTGAAAGATATGTTTCTCTATTAATGCCAATGTATTGGTTAAAATATATGAGTTTGTTTTCACCTTCCATGGCTCGTCGTTGCTGGGGGGGTCCTCCACGTCGCCATCCACCTCTGCTGCTGACACCCAGGTATCATAGCTGATAGAATAAATAAACAAGCCAGCGGTAAGTACAAGATTCATGAACTGACATGCTGCACCCAGAAATAGAGAGGTTTTCTTATTAGAATGAAAAATATAATCCTCCCAATGAATTTAGATTTAAAAATATGGATATGTATTGATCAGTGTAGTATGGAAATTGTAGGGGTGGGAATCACCTGGCTCCCCACGATACAATACTATTGCGATACTTAAGCCACGATACGATACGATACTATTGCGATACCAGAGTTCCCGTTAGCCAGTAATTACCGGACTATGACCGGTAAAATACGCTGAAGACCGGCAAATCTAAATCTCTCCGGTCAAAATGTCCGGTCAAAATAATTTCCCTTTAGCTCAATACCGCATCAGTTGCGCCACTTACTGTATGTGACAGACAAGAATAGTCCATTCTAATGTCTAACACTTAATGTGGAGAAAGAGATGTCCTGTATGGGTTGATTGTGCGTTGATCTGTTGGTAATGCCTCGGGGTTCCGGTGGGCATGTAAACAAATGCATAATGCTGCGCTATACTTTGTGGCCTCACCCGGTTGCATAGCGACACTTATTGCTTAGGTGTCTTTTAATAAGCAGGTAGTCATATCATTAGCTAGAACTAGCTAGATCTGATCGATATGGACATAAACGCGAGTGAAGTCTAATCTGACGGGAGAGAGAGATCAGCTGCTGCTGACGAGTCGACACGCAGCTCTGCATGTTCACATGCAGCGGTGAGCGGACAAAACGCACACTTCAGGTTAGAATATCACACGTAGCTATTTTTAATTACCTCTCAAACTACCGTAACTAGTTATAGATATGTTTAGTTTTACTGTCGGGTCACTCATTACGCGAGCTGCATAATACTGGCATAATAGATTGCCCGATCGGGCAACCAGTAGGTGAGGCTTCATTGCCCGAGCTAAATACTAGATGGCCATCGGGAAGCCCTTGGGCTACACAATCTAGCAATTTTGGAAATTGAACTAGTCCGATTCTGAATAATGGTGCGGCCCGATTCTAGTTCAAGAAAATTATCATCGTATTAAAAGTGTGAGATGAGGCCACAAAATGCATATTCAGTGCAAGTTAGGCATTACATTACACAAACATGACTCCTGTGGTTAGGCTTTATCTAATTATTACCTTTGCTTAAATGAATTTACTGATGTATTAGCACTAAAGAAGAGGTTTGCTGGGACGACTCCAGGATGATGTAAGAGAGGCAACGCTCGGCTGTGCACGTGTGGTTTGTTTGAACATTGGCTTTTAGTGATAGGCTGTGAAGCTCTGCGCTCACATGTTGAAGAGAAGAGGAAATAAGCTGAGCTGCAACAGGGCAGAGATGCATTTAGAAAAGCATGCATGTTACTCAGTGAGTTCATTCGTATGTTTGTTTGATAAATGGAAACACAAAAAAGCAGTTATTTCTCCAAATAAAAATAATAATGTGAAAGAAGGTTGTTTCAGAAGTTTGATTGAATGTGTCCTTTTTTACAAAGACATGTTGATGTAACAAATTACTTAATTAGTTAAAACAGTTTGTTGTTGTTTTTTTCTTGCACTAAACAATAACAACATTGCTATCGGACGATTTTTTTTTTTGTATTAAAGAACTTCACAATGATGGCTTCACTTATTCAAAGACGTGTGTAATGATAACAAAGTATGTAGATACCAAGAACTATGATTCATGTGTCCCTCATTGCTTGAATAATATTGACTTGTTTGCCAGGCAGACACAAAACTACACATTGTACAGTAACATGGCTTAGTGATTGCCAGCAGCCTAAACACATATGCACCACCAGAGTCCAAAACAAAAAGAAATATTGGCCTTTTGGCTAGTTCACCTCATTTCAAACTAAATCAGTTCCTCCAGTTTCCAACACAAACTGGATCTCCTGTTGACTTCTCTGCGCAATCTCAGCTGTTTGCTCAGTGCTGCCTATCGTGTGTTTGTAGATACACACCACTGTATTACAAATGTTTAACAGGCTGCCCTGGCACACACGCTGCAGCTGCATGTGTACATTATCCAATTCTACTGATTATTAAGCCTCTGCTTCTCACATGATGTCAATAAGGAGCATGTATTACGCCCTAACAATGCAGCACAATGCTTCCACACTGTATCCATTATACAAGAGTTCATACCTGCTAATGGGAGACCAGGTTATCTCTCTGGCTCGCAGCCCTTTTCGTCCCCTGAAGGCAGCAGCACTGTTTTTTTTTAGCTTAAGCGGTGCCTTGTGGTTAACGTGTTGCTCATTTCTGAATTCAGGCAGAGTGTGCGACTGCTCGTCTCGTCTCCCCGGGAGCAACGGAAACATTTCCTTGGAGGAATTCGCCTCAGGAGACTCTTGATCTGCTGTTATAAATACCATATACAATAGAAACAGCAACGTCCTCCTGGAAGGCTTGCACAATGGGTTCAGAGAAGGTCAAAACAGGCTTTGAAGTAAAGCCTTTCTGCTCTGCGTTTCTGCAGGAAAACTGACTTTCAAACACGCTTTGGTCCCGTTCACTTTTTCGCAAGGGACAACTTTGAATAAAAGCCTCCATCTCACAGCTGTTGGTCCAGTTCACTGCGTGCTGTGGGGTTACATGAGCGTAGCAGCGAGACCTGATTTGGCAAAGGCTCAACAGCATCTCCGTCAGTGAACTAATCCGGGATTGAGCCGATCGGAAACTGAACGAGCAGAGCTCAGGGCCCTATATCCACACCCGCTGCCTCCCTCCTCCTCTAGGCAGTATACATCTACCCTACATGTTGCACGGTTAGATTCTCACATCTCAAAAGCACGACAAGTTTGACAAGAGGCTCTATAATAATAGCTACAGGCTGAGAGCTGGTTAACTGTTGTTTCAATCTGGTGAGTTTGTGTTCTCTTCAGCTCTTTGGCAGGCGACCAGTATTTGTTCGGATATCCTATTCTGTCTGGCCGGATGGAATTTGATTTTGTTGGAATATACCAGCTACTGCAGCTGAGGGAATAAAAATAACACTTCTGCTTAAACTCAACAGCCCATGACTAAATCTTCACGACATCTACATACAAAACTCTCTTAGATAACACTGTGCTTTTGAGCATACATGCTGAGCAACTAATATTCTAACAAAGAGCAGTCTATGTGCCTCACACGTGGGGAACAAGCAAACAAACGTACAGTCTTTCACATCGCTAGCACACATTTGGGAGATCATGGAGTCTCTACAGCTTCATTAAATGGCTTGTAGATTAATGTATAAAGCCTCATGTGTACAACGTTACAGTAGGCACAGTGGTGCATTGAGTTCATGGCTTAACTTTGTATGTGAGACTATGAAAAAGTCAAAATAAGATACACTGGAATAGTAGATTCAAGAAAAAAATCAAAAATGACCCTCTTACCTCTTCTGAACACTTGCTAAAACGCCTAACTTGAAGGCATCTCCGGGGCTTATAGATTCAAATGCCATTATCAGCAATTGTATTTATCTTGCAATGCATTTGCATGTCCTCCAAATGACTTATTAGAGGCCAAAAACCAGACCAATAGCCAAAAACATTCCAGAGAGCTCTAAGCTTTGTCCCTTCTCCGTAACTGCATTAAAATCCAATCCTATGGTTGCATAATGTGGAAGAATGCTCCTCTGATCAGTGAGGCCCATGCTGTAAAGACAACCTCGATGTGGATGAACACACTACTGCAACACAGCCTTTTACAACCAGAGCTGATGGCATAAGAGGGAAATGCCCTGTCAATCAGTAACCATAATGCAATTGTAAATGATGTGTAACAGGCAGTCTGTCTCTGCGCAAGGATTACTGTATTTCTGATACATTAGAGAAAGAGGAAGACATTGATGACACACTAAATTTAGATTTCTTTTCTTGTGTGATTCATTATGTCTGCCGGTTATCATGCACGTATAGTTTCAAGAATACTTCACTCCTTAAATGAGTAAAAGTTATCAGTTTTCAACACGTGTTACTGTCTTTATCATGTAGATAAAGTTAAAATGGTGACATATCTACCACAAGATAGTGAACATGGAGGTAATGGGGCTGATGCAACATCACTTTCAAGAAACAAGCAAACAAAGAGGCTCCTAAAGATAGGGATAGATACGGGGCACAAACAAGCTTATAGTGTAATTGTACTTTCATCATGGGGTAAAGTTAGACAAAATGACAGAAGTAAGTGGAGTAATCTATGACAGGGTTATCTTTCAGTACACACCGCATAGGCCTAATTTAAAACAAACATTTCTCTTTAGTATCACCTCATTTACCAGGAAAAGGTGAGTCTTAATTCTGTAGTTGAGACATGACATGAGACCGTTTAGAAACCACTGAGCTGGCCCATACAAATAATGAACATACACAAATTTCCATAGATAACACACAAATAAGCCTGGCAGTTTTTCCTGATAAGCAGTGGGAAAAAAAGCATTTATATTTTTTACTTGAGTAAAAGTACCAATAACATACAGTAAAAATACTCAAATAAATTGCATCGAGAAGGGTACTTAGGTAGAAGTATAAATGTATGTATGATAGGAAAATGTACTGTAAGTATAAGTAGTCAATGCAGAAACATTTTTTAATCATCACAAATCACATGTAAGAGGCTCGAACTGTGAAATGAACAAAACAACTCGAATATTAATATTTAGCACTTCGGGATTTGAAATCAAATATGAAGTGCTTTATAAATGAAATCCATTATTATTATATTCTGCTAACCAATTCGTGGTTTTACTTGGATGGTTTAATCTATACCAAATGATATTTTCCAAAAAATTGTCTGTCAAAATCTGAATTTATAAAGTAAATACAGCTCTAAAATAAATGTAGAAGTAGAGTAGAAGTTTAAAATGAAAATACTTGGGTAGAGCACACGTACCTCAAATAGGTATTAGAGTACAGTACTTGAGTAAATGTACTTAGCTACTTTAGACCACTGCAGATAATGTAGTTTCATAAATTACTTATATTTCAGGGACCTGCTGCTGAGTGTTAAATTGCTAATAGTTAGCTAAGGTTAGTGGAAGCTAATGTGAGCCAGTTTCTGGCAGGGTTTCTCATTAGAAAACACTAATATCAGTCGGAATAAAACACCAACACCCTGGTGATTTAAGTAAACATGTATAACATGATAGAATTTAAAGACAAAGCCACTAATTGTTACTAAAGTTACCTGAGTGCGTGTGAGTAAGCTAAGCTAACTATTTCGTAGATGAACAACAATCAATAATGACAGCAATTAAAGAGACCAACTTCAGCCAATTTATTATTTTGTTTATGTTCACGGCCACAACTTTATATATATAGTAACCTAGTATGGCGTTACTTCATATTGTCGTACTCTTTCTGCACCTGCAGACAACTTGTGATGGCACCAAGCTAAATGCTAATATGAATAGCATGCTAGATATGTTAGCTCCTACATGAACCCAGTGTCCCAATCAATATGTATTTTTAACAAACTAACAAGAAAAGGTTGCACTTTCACAGTGGGTTCATGCATGCCACTGGGTTTGAGTGTTTCCTACACCTGCTTCACATGGCTGTGAAACCATCAGACAAGTTTGTAGCAAACAACGCTGAAAGCAAATTAAGATAGCATTGCATTGAAGAGTGACGATGTTAAGTTGTATATGATGGTTTCAGGATGTCGTGGGTTTATATCTGATTTTAAGAGACAATAAGGAAGCATGCGAGTCCAGCAAATGCAGCCACAGTCAGAAGCTATAATTATGGAGTGATTAAACAATCCAAAAGCTCCCATGCTTTCAGCAACCACTGAGCTAAATTTCGCAACATGGCTAAAGCTAAAGCACACTTGCCTTGACAAACTTCAGAGATCCTCAAATGTAGATGTTGCTGTGGGCTTCCTCGGTGAACTGACGAGCAACCACCGGGTTATTCCTTTGTTTTGGAAATGAGCTTAAGGCTATTTTGGATGCATCGAATAGGATGCTGACATTAAGGAGCAGCGTTTCAAACCCACTGGTTGTCAAATCCGACAGACCTCTCCACTCCGAACTCTCACCCTGCAGCAGCGAGGAGAGCAGTGCCAGGGCGACCTCTAGTGTTCACACACTGACAATGACAATATTGCCCACTGTTTTATTACATCATTTTATTCAACCAACATACATTCAGTGGTATCATGATTCAAGACGGAAACATGGGCTGATCATGAGAGTGGGGCACAGATATGCAAAGAGCCTATCGTACATAGGGGCAAAACACACAGACTTTACAGGTGATTAGCCTCTTTTTGTTGTTGTTTTGGTTTTCTATATAGTTTTGAGTCTCCCTGTGGTCATTGTACCTGGCAATCAGACTGTATAGACATTATGTCTTCTCTTAACTTATTGGAAAAGCTGAAAAAAAACTATTCTTAGAAATGTGACGCAATTCAGAGATCTGAGACCACCAGAAAATCGACTAGCAGGATCACAGTATCCTTCCTAAAGATCGTCTAGGGTCCAGGCTGGGTCGTTGACACGAGCGAGACTCTGAATGTTTGGGAAGTTCACCAAACCCTTAGGTAGCTAAACCCCTGACAGCTGGTGTTATTCAAATATAAACAGCCAGTGGTCAGATGTAAAAGAGAAGAAGTTCAACGAGGATAGAGAGAGGTGAGACTAGAGGACAGCGCTGGATGTCCCGGGAGCGAAGAAGGATGCTCCTTTATCGTGGACCTTGTACTGAAAGAGTTTCTTCTGAGTGTACTGCCCGTCGCCCTGTCTCCTCCTCCAACACACTTCCACCTGAAAGACAAGAACATTATATATTTATTGCAAGAATTCAACATTTTTTTTGTACATTTTATTCTACTTTAAAAAGGGACAATGTAAAAATAAGTCTGCCCTCCATTAGTACATCCAGGTGTTTTATTGCGCAATCAATGGTTACATGGTAATATTTGTAAGCACAAATGCAGATTTGTTTTTAAATCTAGATGTCGAGCTCCTCAAAGAAGGGCTGAAATTATTTATCAGATCAGGTTGAGGTAAAACAAACAAATTAGAAGATTGATTAATCATAATCTTATTTTTTACAAAAGTGAAAAAAGTATGCTTGGAAACGCCTAAGCAAAAAGAAACAGTTGTGGACCATCAATAGGACAAATCAAGCACTTTGAATATTTCAGCTTGGACTTGATCAGTTCACAATTTTCTGAGATGTTGTCGACAAAAGATTAAATCAAGGAATTGATTTGCTGATTCATCATTAATGAGAATATTCTTAAATCGCAGCACCACCCTAAACGTCATGCAGTACAGTTGGACAATTACGGGTTCGATAATGTGTTCAATCAGACACAGAAAGACCGTGCTGGCAAACACACACTCACCTGCCCGTGTATGTCCCTGCAGTAGCCGGTTGGGAGACCCTGTACATGAAGAGTGAGGCTGCACTGGTGGGTGAGGCCCTTCATCAGTCTCTCTGAGCCTTCATCATCTCCCTCGTCCTCCTCTCCCTCCCCATCACAGCGAACCAGCATCACCACGTTACCCTGCAGTCACAGACAAAGTTATGGTGATAAGACAGGGTTTTTATTAAAGCTCTTTACTTTAAAGCAGGTACATACAAGTTAGATACACTTTATGAAAGCAAAACTGCAAATAACTTTTAAATCACAACCGGCTACCTCCTGGCAGTGCAGACTGATAACAGCACATTTACATGCAGAAAAATGCTGTTTTTAACCTTTCAATTATAGAAATGTCCTGCTTTTCTCTGTTTGATATCATATTCAAATTAATATTGGGTTTTGGACTGACAAAACAAGACATCAAAATAATTTCACTTTATCATAATGTGTCTTATATTGTGTTGATTTACTTCAATTAAAAAAACATGTTTTTATATTTGGAATTGTATGGATCACCCTGGACTTTGAGACCCTCGGATGACATTGCACAATAGTAGCATGTTTAGACCCAACGATTAAATGTTACTTTAGAAAACAACCTGCGGATCAATTTGATATTGAGATATATTTTTGGTTGCAACCTTAAAATCATGCTTTGACAGAAGATCCTACCTGCAGCTGGGAGCAGACGATGGCCCTGCAGTAGTGGCTGAAGTCCAGCACGGCTCCAGCGCTCACCCCCAGACTCAGCAGCACACTGAGGTCGTCCACCAGCAGCACCGGGGGCCCCCACTCCTCTGACCCATCCCCCCCCTCCTCACCATTACTGCTCACAGCGGAGCGCACAAACTCATAGAGACTCTTCATCCCGACGGAAGGATCCCTGCAGACAGCAGAGATGGCAAAAGTACACACATCTTTTACTCAAGTAGAAGTACAGATACTCGTGTTTAAAAATACTCTGGTGAAAGTAGAAGTACTGACTAAACTTCTTTACTCAAGTAAAAGTAAAGACTTTGAAATGTACTTCAGTAAAAAGTACCCATAACTAGCAGCTGTTTTAAAGAGTACCTGACCTCCCTTTATATTAATAGAACAATAATGTCATTGTTAGCTAATGAATGTTTCCATGCTGAACAACGGCAACATGACAACGTTTTCATTGGTCCCTCTTCTTTAGAGAAGACCAGGAAATGATGGATACACGGATCGTGTTCAAATCAATAGGCACGCAATGACTCTAAATAATAATGATCACGCCACCAAACACACATTCAAACTAAAGGAACCAGCCTGTTTGGAAAATGTAAGAAGTAGAAATTTTACTCCACGACTCCCACCTCTCCTTATTCTGTACTTGTGTCCTTCTTCCTCCTCTCTGATATATAACTTACGTAGTTTGAGTTATAAAAGCCTTTGTAAGCTGCATATAAGAGGTTGCTCTTTCTCTAGGAAACGCTCCAATGGTGTTGTAAAGCCAGTTAGATGATCATACCTTGCTAGAAGTCTTAAGGTGAAAAAACATGTAGTTTATCGCTTTTGCGCAGCCCCACACAAGCACACCGTAATGTACCACCTCTCCTCTCTTCCACTATAGCAATACATGTTCTCGTAACAGCAGAGTCTAATAATATTGTGTGCTGACAGTATCACTGCTCTGGACCCAACTAAAGTCACTTGATATTGAAAGAAGTATTTTTTCTTAGCGCCCCTTGCGTAGGTTTGTGGGAAAGTCCAATAATTCACATTTTTACAGTCAAACTGTCATACCATGGAAACAATGTCCTAATTTATTGGGGGGGGGGGAAATTATTCAACACCAAATCTGACCCACCAAAAAACAGGACATACAATATTGACCAATCGGTTAAAACAAACAATATTATAGAAACGTCGAGGGCAGAAAGCATAGTTTATAACAGAGGAGCCCTCCTGTTTAGTCATTTCAGTGCAGCTTAAAGAAAAATAAGATAATTAAATACTCACACAGATAAACAAATATATTATACATATGTACACATATTATACATACATACCACATTTCCCAGGGGGGAAAATAAAACAAAGTATGCGTGTTTTTAGATTCAGCTTAACCATTTACTCCCTTTCTCCATCGTTGCCCCTACTAGGTCTCACAGCCGACAGAGAGCTAGTTAAAGATCATTTACATCCCGCCATCAAGAGTTGAGATGGCTCATTAGCCTCTAGCCTTGTAGATAAAGCTCCAAATGACAAGTGCAAAGTATGGGCTGCTCCTTCAATTGGGGGCGACAGAGTAGGAGATTGATGGTCCACCTCCTTTGGCTCTGCGGCTTCCACAAGTCCATGCAGCTCGCTTAAAGGTCTCCTATCATGCTATTTTTAGCATATATTATGGATCTCAGAATAATATAACATAAAACAGTCTCTGAGTGTTTAGCTCCAAAATACCAAACCAGATCATCCATTTAGACATCCCCATGTCCCTCTATTTTAGGCATGTTAGGCGATTCTGGGTCCTTAGCTTTAAAAAAAAAAGAAAAAGTAGGAAGGGGAGCTGTGCCTGCTCAGGAATTCTACGAGATACTCAGTAAATGCTGCCGTGATTGAAACGCCATTATTCATGTTCAAACCACTTTGATGATTCTTTCTGAAACAGTATGAGCTCAAATGCTTTTCTCTCTCAGTTTACCACAAGGTGAGTCCTTTTATTCCCTGCTTTTACACATCTCTCTCCAGTACAGGTTAGCTCTGAGTGTACGCGACGCTTGCTAATGTAAACAAAGACCATATTACGTCCAAAAACACGTCGCGCATTGTTTCTGATAGCAACGTTTCCGATAGGAGTCAGTGGCAGTAAGCCCGCCCCCATTACATATATTATGTTCATATCGGACGCAAATCTGGATCAACTCCGTGTTCCCCCATTTTAGAGGATTTTGGGTACGGAGGAAAATAGAGAGGTTTTGTTTTCGAACACATTTGTGACGTTCTCGACCAAACCAGGGGACACATTATTTAGTTAAAAAGACATGGGAAAAGTGCGATGCATGATGGCACACCCGAACAACCACAAACCACCGAGCCAATCAATATAACCCAAAATAACCACACAGAAAACGAAATCCCCACCACCCGAACAAAAAACACTAACCACAAAAACAAAACACGTCCAATAAGACAAAAAACACAAAAAAACCACCAAACAAATATAAAAAAAAAATATAGCCGAGCATGTAAAAAAAAGCCAGACCAGCTAAAAACTGTGGAGTAAGACCCTTCCATTGCAAAAAAAAAAGAGAAAAAAAAAAGAGAGAGGTAGATCAGCCTCCGGACAGCCTGGGTGACGGAAGCTGTTTTTCATCTGGGTGCTCGGACCTCCGGGCTGCGAACGTCTCCCTTGAGGCAGGTGAGTTGAAGAGGCATGGAGATGGAAGAGGTCACCACAGCTTTGTGTGAGGGAAAAGTCCAGATGAGTGAGAGCACGATGATTCCCTCGCATTGTTGACGATTGCGCTGGCAGTGGTCGTGTGAGCATAACATTACTGTGTGACCTCTGGCAACGCATTTACTTTGTATAAATCACAAGAGTGTGGTAAGTATAAAAAAAAAATGACGAATTTTGTCCATGACTGAGGACACACAGCTATTAAGGCCA